ATGGTGGGGACAGTTCATCCATTAGCTCAAGTCGCTCGTCTCGGACGAGCTCGCCGCAGGTACGCCAGGTGGCCATACCGGAAATCACAGACGTCTATCAGGAGGATCCGCTCAGCGCACGCTCCCAGGTCTCCAAAATCAGTGGGCCGCCTTCTGCCGCTAGTCTTCCTTCAGAAGCAGAACACGAGTCGGATAAGAATTTAGAGACAGAAGAAAAGCACCAGTCGCAGCCGGAGCAGGAACATCGAATTCATCTGTCAGAGGCCCAGCGGACAGCCTTGATCGAAAAAGCCCGGATCCGTCGAAGCCTGCTAATCGCCGAGTGGAATCGCTTGCCCCTCTCTACGTTTACGCTTCGTGTGCGCAACCTGAAGCGGCAACTGGAGCAGAAGCTAGACATAGTGGACAAAGATCTGAGCGTTCTCTCCCAGCAGAGGGACAGCTCTGATTCATATCATAGGTTCTTCTAGTAAATAAAGTCTGAAAAAATTATAACGCATTAAATAAATACTTGAACACATTTGCAATTAGACGAAAAATACAAATTTGTTTTTAATCTGCATATCAGACGATTTTCCAGTTTGGTCCACTCACTCATCTCTAGGTGCCTGCAAGGCGCGCCCGTTTGCACAATATGTGCTGTTATTGCACCAGAAACTATTTTGGCAAGATAAATTAAGCATAGATCTATTAAATATGTATTAAAACCTAATAATAGTTATTTTCAGCAAAGCAAACACACAATCTGAAATCCGATAGCAATCAGATATCGATCGCAAGAAATAGTAATATCGATAGCGACTATCCCATGTAGTGTTCGCCAGGGATGGCATAAGTAAATTTAATTCGGCTATCGCATAGTTAACAGCGACTGTTAACTAACATGCATGTTGCATTTAGAGAGCTGCTGGGCCAAAGGTTTGCATTTTTATTGTTTCCGCGCACGTGCAATAATATATAAATGAAACACAATTGAATACGGGAAACCAAGGCGTGCAGGCTCAACTGCAGACGGCGCAAATGGATCAATTCTCGCACGACTTGACGCTGGCCCTGGAGGAGACCTCGCTCATGGACAGGGCGTGCGGCGTTGGTAGGTGGGGTTCACGTCGCAGAACCCGATCAACGGGTAATTTGCGTAAGTAGTGCACACGCATGGTGCTCCAGTTGAAGCCACACCTATCTCTGCTCCTCCCCGCAGCTTGTGCCCCTCAACCCACAGAGGACTCGTCGAGCAGCCCCACGGACACACCGAATGCCCACGGACATGGACATGGGCATGGACATAGCCACGGACACGGTCACGGGCATGCACAACATCACCACCAACACCCAAGTGCTAACGCAGACGGACTGGACCTGAAGCTGGCGGCCAGCGACTCGGATGACAAGGCAGGGGCTATGCTCCCGCTACGCCTCCCACTGCCATGCAAGACCCTGAACGCCGCGGCCGCCGTACGCATGGGCGTGGGGGCGCTCGAGTCGGACTCGCTCAACGAGACAAACTTCAGTCCAGCCCGGTAAGCCTTCGACGAAGGGGAGCTACTAAAAATAGTAAGCTAATCGAATACCCTTCCTCCCTCCCTCCCTCCCTCCCTCCATAGTTTCTACAAGCCCAATTCGCGACGCAAACGAAAAATAAAGCGCATGTCCATGGAGTTTGAGTTCAGCAAGGACACGCACCCAGCCGCCTCTCCGCACAGCTTCACGGAGTCACCCCTGCAGCCGGGAATGCTGGGCGGCGCATGCAGCGGCTTGGCATTGGCCTCGACGGGGACGGTTCGGAAGCGCCTGCTAAAGGCGGACGCCGGCAATCGGTCGAATTTCTTTTTCTGTGGCAAGCGCAAGCGCTCCAATCGCGACCGCTACAATGAACAGGAGCCGGGTGCGGGCTCAAGCATCGGTTGCAGCAATAAGCTGCACTCTTCTAGCATGCCGCGCTACACCCACATGGAGGAATACCAGCGGATGCGACCGCGCAGCTACTCGTCCACCTCCAAGCCGCACAGCGACCGCCTGTTGCCCCTCAACAAAGGACTGCTTTCGAAGATAAATCGCATGGCGCAACAAACACAAAAGACTGACAATGCTGATGCCGACGCCACGAAGACCGGCCAGTCCGCTACAGGCCAGAAGCTACAGCCGGAGGAACTGGCCAAAAGCAGGTCTTCAACGGCCCGCGGAGAGCGCCAAACTGCTCCCCCAGCACCAGTTAACGCTGCTGCATCCGTACTCACCGTCACCGACATCCTGGGCAGCTTCAGTATGGACACCATAGTGCCCGTCACCGACATCGAGGCTCTCCTGAGCACACCCGCAAAGGTGCCACAGGTGCCGCGCCAGCAAAAGAGTCACAGCCACAGCAACAGCGCCTCCAAGACCCATCGCCGCCGCCGTTTCTGCCAGACACCGCAGCCTCTGCAGGCGCAGTCCATGGACATCAGCGAGCTGTACGACTTCCTCAGCTCGAGCTCACTGAGCACCTCATCGGACAGCGAGGATGGCGGCCATCGGCGGCACGATACGGGTCGTGAGGGCGACGACGAGCTAACCGATTGGCCGGGCAACGAGTTTGGGCCCGGGGGTAAGTATGATCCCAAGCGGAAGCTAACCAAGAAGTCGCTGCTTTCGCAAATACGCTCGGACGATACCATTGGCGAGGACGACACCCTTATGTCGGGAACGGAGACCACTGTGACCCAGCTGGCCACAGAGAGCGCTCCTCAGACCCAGACGCCCTGGCTGCCAGATGCACTGCAGGATCTGTCCCGCTTCCAGTCCGCCCCAGCTTCGGAGCCAATTGAGATCCAGGGGGGGGCCAGCGGCTATCGGAACGCAGCGGGCTTCGTCGACGTCAATCTCTGCCTGGATATGGACATCAATGTGGACACCGTGCCGGCGCCGAAGCAAATCGAGAGCGAGATGTCCGGCGAGACGTCAAACCCATTCCTCTCCTCCTCGCCGCCCGGTCAAGTGCAGGAGGTGCGCGAAATCCTCGCCGGCTGCCGTCGCATCAATGGCGACCGGCCCGGCTTCAGCATTAAGCTAAGTGTGAACGAGCGGCTCGCTCGCTTTCTACAGGATCCGCGTCAGACCCAGATCCGTCTGCCCGACATGGAGATCAACGAGGCCGACAGCCTCTACAATTTGGCCAATCTTTACTCCCTCACGATGGTGGTGGAGCACGGCTGCACAGTGCTTACGAAGACAGGGTGAGTGACATTCCTGGCCTTCCAGCGCTCCTCAATTTTGGGTTCCACTAAATTGTTGCATTTGTCTTCCCACACCACAGGAATACCACACAGTCGGTCAGCGTGGATCATCCTCAACAGCGTGGCCTGCCGCAGCATCCGGATCTCTTTAGCGACTTTAAACGCCGCTGTTATGGGGACGGTGAGGGTGGGGGAGAAGGCGAGGGCGAGGGCGAGAGGGAGAGGCAGAACGAAACTCCTGGCCCGCCAGGTGCCAAAGAAATGGACAACAAATGACTAATCACAACCTGAACCCCGGACCAATCCGTGGGGGATTGACCTAGGGGCAGGACAGGGAAGTCGCTCCGGAGTTCAACTCTGAAGGATTTCAGATGCTGCCGCGCTTGCCCCAGCCCCAGCCCTAAGAGCGAGACAGAGATAGAGATAGAGAAATAGATTCGTTCCGACGATACAACGAGTAATATTAAAGCTTTTAAGAGTGTGTTTGTAAAGTGTTCGTTCCCATGTACATATCGAATGAGATTGTACGTTCAGTGTGTATATACTACAATATACTATTGTAAAACTTGTTAGGGGACGAGGCCGAACAAGATCCAACTTTTGCGCCTGCACAATCGATCCCATTCCCAACACAACCTGGGATCGAGAGAGATGGCAAGCGACGTGCCATCGTACGAGAGCTGAATGGCACGGCTGCTGATGCACGGATGTTTTTGGTCAGTTCCACTGTACAAAATATGATATGCCTGTTCCATAAGACATAAAAGGCGAATATTAATATATATGTATGTGACTATGTGCGGACACAATCTGTGCGTCTATTTCTTGGGGAATGGCTCTCCCTTTGATCCCTTGAACTCCTCAAAAAGGGAAGACCATCGTTTATGCAATTTTAAATCGAAATCGATCTGATGTAATGCTGTAAGGCCTCAACCTATGTATAACATTGAATTAAATTCTGTCTGCTAGAGAAACGCCACCAAATATGCCATATATGTACGTATTCGTGGATGCCGCAGACTGAATTTCAACTGAGTTGATTACTCATTGCATTTGACATTAATTTCCGATCTCATTTGCGATATGTAATATATTGATTGTATTGTACATATATGTGTCATGTAATAGATTGGAAGATCTATAAATTCATGTGGGATAGACCTTTAAAAAGAAGAGTTATGTTGTTCTGTTGTTGAAGGACAGCCACTCTAAAAGCGTGAGTGTGTCTGAATTCGTATCTGTACCTGACCTTTAAGTGGAAACTGTTTAATGGATAGCGTTTCGAGTTCGTTGGTACTCTGGGCAGACATATTGTACGTATGGTTACAGTTCGATGAAGAGGAGAGTAAAATACCTGGCGCCCAGGGATCACACAGTAATCGAAATTATGGTTTATCAATGATCATCTGGATACTCTCCGCAACTGAGAGTGAGCGGTACCTGGAACCTGGAAATCGTTCGTTGAAAGTGCCATTTACCAGGGGTTCCCCTTCTGCATTGTTTGCTTTTCAAATCTTGCCCGCTTTGACCTACTCATGGGGTGGGGTGGTGTGCTGTGCTGTGCGGCGTCGAGGACGGCGCATGCTCATTGGGGCCACGGCCAACCACCAGCTGGGGCAGGGTTGCCAGGCAGGCGGGTTGCTGTCGGCCGGAAATTCTTGGTCCCAGCTATTTCCTCCATTCTGACTGGCGGTGGCCGGCAACCCTCGAGTACAGAGAATGGCAACCCTTGGCGCTGCTGCTCTGCGCTGCTGGGGGTCGGGTCGCCGCGGGGTCGTCCTCGGCAGAATCGCATTGAGCTTTTGACGGTGTCGGACGCAGTTGGACGCAGCTCAACGGGGATTGGCACCAAAGTTTCATGTGTGTGAGCTCCAGCGCCGCCGTGGCCCCGGGCCCCCCACGCAAGTGTCAATAACTCTCACGCCGTGCCGTGTGAATGATGTGTCAAATCAGGAGCTGGAGTCTCTAATCTTCGCCTCAAACTGGAATAGACGCCAGTGCCACAGTCAGCTACCCGGGATTCCGCGATTCCGGGGCTCCAACTCCGAGTAAGGCCTTCAGCCTCCTCCTGTGTTCCCAGTTTCGCTGCCGACTCCAGCGGACTGTTGTCTTGACCCTTGTCCAATCTAACGGAACAAACGGTAATTGCCAACTCTAGGAGGCTTCAGCCTCTCCTCCATCTTCAGCTTCAGCTTCAGGCTCCAACTCCATCTCCAGCTCTCGTCCTTCTCCACGTGAGACGACGACAGAGAAGATTTTTACGACGCGGGGCCGCTTCTGCTTATTGATTTTTCAAACAACAGAGACGGCGCGAGAGAGGGAGAGCGTGAGTGAGAGCGGAGTGGAGAGCAGAAGAGAGAGCGTTACACACAAACACACACACACTATCTGGGTGGCGGAGGAGTGGGGAGGACAAAGCATACACACACACACACTGACACATGTACTTTTACATGTGCTAATCTGTTATCAGAACTATTTTGCATTCGTTCTCTCTCGCTCTCCTCCATCTTGTAGCCCGGCGGGAAGGGATCATGAGGGAGACGGTGCAGGCGGCGATGGGCAGCAGCAGACTGCAGCCGCGACTGCAGTAGAGCCGCTCCTGCATGCATTGCGAGCATGTGCATCATCTGTAGCGCCATCTCTGTCTCATCATCTGAGCACCCGAGTCTGAGTCTGAGTCTGAGTCGGAGCCGGAGGCGCGATCGCGTCTGCGTCTGAGTGGCTTCAGCAGCAGCAGGGTGGCGCAGTTGGCAAAATGAGTGCGTGCGAGCCGGCAGTCGGCGAGGATGCGAGCCACAGCAGTCACAGTCGCAGTCGCAGCCGCAGCGAGGTGGACACGGGGGACACGGACTCGGCGACCCATACGGAGGAGAACATACAGCAGCAGTCCAATGGTGAGCAGTCCCCCCACAACAGCGTTCAGCAGGAGGAGGCGAACGAGTCGAAGGCCCAGGCCAAGCCGGAGACGGCACTGCTGGAGGGCCTGGCCGGTAGTGGGATGGCCGCCCCCTCCATAGATGCGCTGGTGGCCTGCAAGGATGTGCTCCTCGCCCAGAAGCTCTTCGCAAGCGGTGGCAGCAATGTGCCCGGACCCGCACCGGGATCTGGGTCAGCATCGGGTGCCGTTACCAGTCCCAGCCCGAAAGAGCTGCTCAAGCTAAAGGAACCGATGCGAGTGGGCTTCTATGACATCGAGCGGACCATCGGTAAGGGTAACTTTGCCGTGGTGAAGCTGGCACGGCACAGGATCACCAAGAACGAGGTGGCCATCAAGATCATTGACAAGTCGCAGCTGGACCAGATCAACCTCCAGAAGGTATACCGCGAGGTGGAGATTATGAAGCGGCTGAAACATCCTCATATCATCAAGCTTTACCAGGTGGGTGCAGTCTCCAGCTTTCCAGAGAACCTAATGGAGCCTTTCCTCTCCCCATTCCCGTTGCAGGTGATGGAGACAAAGAACATGATCTATATAGTGTCGGAGTATGCCAGCCAGGGGGAGATCTTTGGTGCGTAGTCCTTCCCCGTACCCACACCCATGCCGATCCCTGACCCTATCCCTCTGCTCTCCGCAGATTACATAGCCAAATATGGCAGGATGTCGGAGTCGGCGGCACGCTTCAAGTTCTGGCAGATCATCTCCGCGGTGGAGTACTGCCACAAGAAGGGCATCGTCCATAGGGACCTGAAGGCCGAGAACCTGCTGCTCGATTGCAGCATGAGCATAAAGATCGCGGACTTTGGCTTCTCCAATCACTTCAAGCCGGGCGAGTTGTTAGCCACCTGGTGCGGATCCCCGCCCTACGCCGCCCCCGAAGTGTTCGAAGGCAAGCAGTACACGGGACCGGAGATCGACATCTGGGTGAGTGCAAGTGCAGCCTTCCCTCTCTCTCGCTGTCTCTCGGTCGCTCTTTTCCTGCTATTCAACGGTATCCTCATCCTCATTCGCTTTTCGCTTTTGCAGAGCTTGGGCGTAGTCCTGTATGTGCTCGTTTGTGGAGCTCTTCCTTTTGATGGCTCCACGCTGCAGAGCCTGCGGGACCGGGTACTGTCTGGGCGTTTCCGCATCCCTTTCTTCATGAGCTCCGAGTGCGAGCACCTCATCCGTCGCATGCTGGTGCTCGAGCCCACCCGCCGCTACACCATTGAGCAGATCAAGCATCACCGCTGGATGTGCCCAGAGCTGCTGGAGCACGCCCTGATCGCCAAGTACAACATGAACGTGGACCGGCAGACGGTACTGGAGCCCAGCGAGGATATTCTCCGGATCATGGCCGAGTATGTGGGCATCGGGCCGGACAAGACGCGCGCCAGCCTCAAGAAGGACACCTACGACCATGTGGCAGCCATCTATCTACTGCTCCAGGATCGCGTCAGTCACAAAAAGGACCAGGCCCGACCCACCGAGGGGTCGTCGCCAGTGCCACCGCCACCCTCTGCCCCTGTAGGTTGTGGATCTGTTTCCAGCGGGGGCAGTGGTGGTGGCGGTGGCGGTGGCGGTGTTGGTGGCAGCAGCAGCAGCTCCAGCCGCTTGCTCTACAAGAGCAGCAAGCAATCGCTCAGCCTAGAGCAGCAGCATCAACAGCAACAGCAGCTTCTCCTCATGCAGCATCAGCAGCAGCAGCAGCAATCAAAGACAATATCCACCACCACGATCCTGGGCAAGGATCAGCACCCACACAAAAGACTAAGCCGCCACCAGACTGTGCTCATGAGCGAGCGACCTTTGCCCCCTGCTGATCCCAGCTACTACTCCAAACAGATGCAGCTGCAGCTCCACAACCACAACCACAACCACAACCACAACCTGCCCACCCATGTTCCTGGCGCCTATCTCAATGGCCAGGAGGAGGCAGGCTGCATTCCGATGCCCGTGAGGTACACGCCACTGCCCTCCGCCTCCAATATTTCTTCCTCTTCGGCCGTCTCGCGAATGGGTCGCCACAGCCTGACCTCGAGCTCTCCCAGGAGCCACCGGCCCCTGGCCATATCGCTGAGCATCGACAACCATAATCACACCCACAATCCCTCACTGGCCAATCTCCGCTGCCGGGAGCTAATGGAGCCGGGCCAGCCCAGTCCGGCGGCGGGGCCGCTGGTGTCCAAGCAGCTTCAGCAGACCATCAGCGAGTACATCATCAAACAGAGCACCGAGGACTGCCGCCAGCTGCTCCAACAGGTTAAGCTCAGGTTTAGGGAAGTATGCTTGGCCGATCCCTCATCATCTTCTCCTTCAAATCCTTTCAGTCCACGGCCATTGCCGAGGGAAAGGAGGAGCTAACCACCAGACCGGAGATGGCAGCCAATCAAACCAATGCAAGTGGAGGAAGAGCCACCACGCCTACTACCTCCTCTGGCACAGTCACAGCCACAGCTACAGCCACAGGCAATGCCAATGAAAATGCCAATACGGAGGATCAGAACCAGAACCAGAACCACAAGCAGAAGACAATAAAGGCCATGTCGAGTTCAAGTAGCTTTGACTCCACCGCCAATCTCAACCAGAGCTTTCGCTACAAGATGTCCGCCGAGGCAAACAAGCTATTCCAGACCCTCCAGGAGAGCCCGCTGCCCGTAGAGGTAAGTCCTATGCCAGCTATAGACTTATCCTCACTCTCACCCCACTCTCAACAGAAGCCCAAGAGGAGAGGAGTGGCCAGCACCAATGGCAATGGCCACGAGTCCGGGCAGGATCTGATCGAGGGCAAGCAGAATGGCGACAGGTGAGTCCCAAGGGAATACTCGTATTCCTCCAGAATAAAGCTCATGCCACCATCCCCCCATCCCCATTCCTAGGCGCAGTGACAAAAAGACCTTCGAGAAAAAGGTACTGGCTCAGGGCAGCTCCAGCACGGACGAGGGCTGCGAGACGGATCAAGGCAACGAAGGTCCCACTCCCGGGACCAAGGAAGGCTCCCAATCGAGCAGCGACTTGACCACCACCGCACACAGCGGTAGCGGCAACGGCAACGGCCACGGCCATAGCCAGACCACCCGGATGCGTTCCTATGCCAGCAGCAGCAGCTCCAGCGGAGTGCTGGCCTCCGGCAGCTACTCGAAGAGCCTCAGCCAGAACTTGAGCCGCGGCTCCTCGAAGAGCAACTGCAGCGCCGGGGCCTACGATAGCCTGGACTTTGTCCTGCCCTCCGGCAGCCTGCCCTCCTGCATGGGATCCAGCTCAATGCTGGCCGCCGCCGCCTCCGTCGCCGGAGCAGCCGGCTCCAGCGAGCACTCCTCGGAGCGGTCACTGTACAGCAGCCACAACTCCTGCATCCACATGCCCAGTGCCGTCAACCTCAGCCTGACCGCCAGCTCCACCCCAAATCCCACTCCTCCACCACCACCAGCGGGAGCGGGGGGTCCCTTCCTGGATAAGCGCTCGCCCATCCACTTTCGGGAGGGGCGACGGGCAAGCGACGGACTGGTGGCCCAAGGTCTCCTCAGCTCCGGGGGCGGATCGCTCTTGGGCAGCAGCCGCGTATACGGCAGCTACCGCTACGACCAGGTCAAGCGGCATGGCTGGCTGGAGATACAGCAGCTACAGCAGGAGGCTGCCACTCATCCGCATTCGCATCAGCATCAGCACACGCACCCACATCCGGCTCCTCCATACGGGCTGGAGGAGCTCAGCCTGGGCAACTGTCAATTCCCCAACAGTCAATTCTATGCGCTGCCTGGAGGCAAGCCGCATCACCATCATCCCCTGCTGACGCTCCCGCACCACCATCAACATCAGCAGCACCACCATCATCCTCATCCTGGTCATGGTCATGGTCATGGTCATGGTCATGGTCATGGTCATGGCCATGGGCTCTTCCATCCGGGGTCTCCGGGAGGGCCAGTTCCAATTCCGCTGCTCTTGGAGGCGGCTGGTGGTGATATTTACAACCACGCATGCTATGCCCCGCCACCGCCACCACCGGGCCTCTATTCGCATCAGCACCAGCTCGGTATGGCGGTGCCCATGTCGCCCATGCAGAAGCCGCCGCTGCAGCAGCAGCTACTCCAGCATCGCCTGCTCCAGCAAAAGCGGCAGCTCTTCCAGAAGCAGTACGCTCTGGAGGCGCAGCTGGCCGGTCGCCATCACCACCAGCAGCACCACCAACAGCAGCACCAGCTCCACCAGACTGCACACTTTAACCACGGGCATGGGCACGGACACGGGCACAGCCTAAACCACGGACTGAACCTTGGGCTGGCACTTGGTCACGTATCGCCAGCGCCGATGCCGGACCAGCACCTGACTGAGGAGCTGTACGAGCTGGCCATGCTGGACCGCCCAAGGAGTGGCACTCCACGACTGCAGCACTCGCTGACGATGCCTGGTGCGCACGCCTTCAGCCAGATGAACCTCAAGACCTCCTACATCAGCCAGCCGACACAGTCGGAGTCGTCAGGGCCAGGATCGGGCTCTGGGCCAGGGTCAATGTCGGCACCTGGATCTGGATCGGGATCAGGATCAGGGCCGCCGTCCACAGCGCCGGGAACGCCTACGTCGGTGAAGTGCAAGCCGTCAACGCCTCACGGGCACAGCCACGAGGCCGACTATCATGTAAGCATTTTCAAATTAAATCTATGCAAATTCCAACCAATTTTCCAGCTGGGTAAAACTTCCTTTTATTACCTAACCTGATCTAAACCCCTACTAGCCAGACAGAAACAGTGGCTATGAGTCTATTGGTATGTAGAGTCAGATTGGGATCACCCCGAATCACCAAAAGACAGAGTGTGAGCACTGCGGCAAAGTTTCTTTCGCAGTCTCTTGCTATATTTTAAATAGTGCATACGTTCACCTGCTTTACAGAATACACACAAATAAAGATATTCACGCCGGAGGAAAAGCAAATTCACTAGCAAATTTGTGTGTTGCTTTCTCATTTTCTCTTCGAGAAAATGAAATGAAGAGTGAGCGCGAAAAAAAACCGAAATTTTCAACTCTGACACAGTAAAAATGACAATACTTGCTTCGTTCAGTCCATTTTTTAAAAGCGTTTTGATAGAATCAGAAAGCTGAAGCTTCGATTCCAGCTATCTGTTCGTTTTTGGATCCTTTTCCCAGCGAATCAAGGTCATAGCGGAAGGGGGGTACTCGTATTACCTGAATCACATAATCTAGCATGATCTCTTAGTGTAAAAATTAATTGAAAAATTTCAATCATCTAGAGAATCGATTCGATTTGTTTCTTATAGACATCGACGCCAGTGCTCAGCTTGTTCACGCCCAACTGGCAGACGCTGGTCAAGCCGCTCAGCGAGAGCCCCATTCTGGAGATCTCCGAGCATATGGAATCGGTCTGAATAGAAGGGAGATGGAAAATAGAAGTTGGAACTAAGATGGAAATGAACTAATGGAGTCCGAACCAGGGCCACCTTTTTATTAAGCTCGCAATCGCAATTATGAATTATTTTATCCATATACGATATACACATACATATAGATATACATATACATATACACCTACGTATACATATACAAATACGGATATACAAGCATCGATCGCTGGAGTAGGCAAGGTCTAGGTCTAGGTCTGGGATGGAGCTCTAACTATATTTGTCGGATGGAAGCCAATCGAACCGAGTCAAGCCGAGTCGAGCCGAACCGAACCGAACCATTGCCGTACGAGTAATATTGGAAGAATAATTTAGTTGTGTTACTAGCCCTAAGTAGTCCAAAAGTTTCGTACGCGTACGCCGACATACATACATACATACATATACAGTATGTATATGTATATTGATAATAATAGCGTTAAGCTATAGCTCTACTTATGATTATACTTACTACGAGCATACACTCGGAATAGCCCCGCCCTCCGTTCTCCCATTGGACCGACTACTCCGAGACAGCATTTTGGGTAAAAGTCTTGAGAAGGGTTCCCGCGGAGTTGAGCTGGGAGTGGGAATCGATGTTAGTCGATGCGATGAGAGAGCTGGAGAAGAACAACGTAACTACATATATCAATTATTCGAAGCATTTATTGGGGCTATAGATACGTACATATGTCTGTATACGGATATATGTTTATATCCCTATGTATTGGTACAATAATTAGCGACAAGCAACAACTAAAACCAAAACCAAACATCGATTGTTCTTAAACATGGAATTCAAATGTAAACCAGATATTAAAGTTATTTGGTATAAAATGCAATTTTACTTCTGGAGTTCCTATATTATCAGATGTACATTTATAGATAGATGTATATAAAGATATAGATATCTTTATATATACATATGTATTTATATAGATATATGTAGATGGGTGATCTGTGTGGAAGGAAGGATCGAATCGGATCGGATCGCATCCGACCTGGTCGTACGACTAGAAATGGTGACAATTGTGAACCTTTTGAGTGATCCAAAGACCAATAGATCAATACTGGTACACGCATATGAATATACTTAAGAGCTGATACAGTGTACAGTGACCGGCTCTCCTCACCTACAACATACTTATTCCTTTGTTTTGATCTGCTTTGTGATACTACGTTCCTTTTCGGCAATCAGAGCCCAAGAGAATCACGTTTTGATCTGGCGATTCGTAGCTGACTCCTGTAGCTTTTTCTTGGCATTGGCATTGGCATTGGCATTGGCGTTAGCATTGTTCCGCTGCTGGTGCGGATCGGGAGAGCCATGACAGCGCAGCAGATTCCAGTAGGCGCGTCGGTACTCGGAGCTCATGAGCACGTAGATGAGTGGATTGATGCAGGTGGTCAGGTAAATGAGCAGATAGCCGGCTATATTGAACACATGCACCTCGGTGGCACTCTTCCAGATCTTGGCCACCGTGATGGGTAGGTAGCAGATCACGAACCACACGAAGATCACCAGTATCATCTTGAGCAGGCGCCGATCCTTGACGCTCATTCGGCCCGGGTAGATGGACGAGGCATTCGACGTGTTCCCCATAGACACGTAGTGGGATTTCCTGGGACTGAAGCGGGTGAAGGAAGTGCGCAGCGAGGTGGTAATGGGATTGGCGTTGGGAACGGGACTTGCGTTGGCGTTTTTCCTGTGGGATCAATAGAAAGGAGTTAGATCTGTCAAGATTTCAAGAGGACAAGAGTGTAAGAGGTCTCTAGTACGTACGTGGAATTCTTGCTCTGCTCCAGCTGGGTCTGACTTCGCCCCAAGGCGCACAGCTCTTGTTTGTTCTTGTTTTTATCCCTCTCTTTGAGCACCACATTAGCATCGACCGGCAGCTGATGATCCTGATTCTTATCCAGATTTTTCTGATCCTTCTCCCTGTCCCGCTTCCCGATGCTGTACGAGATGGGGAGACTCTCGGTGGAGGCATTATCATCGATATATGCTATATACTCGTCAACGACAAACGGTCGCAGGCCGTGTTCCGGGACCGTGTCCGAGATGGATGTGCTCGCCTTTTCCCTATTTTCAACCGTCTTGGGCATGGTCAAGGATTGGGGTGCTGCTGCTGTGGTGGTGGCCGTCGGCTCGCAGGCATTGTTCTTGGCGGCGTTGCTGTTTCCGGCGCGGATGGCCGCCTGACGAACGAGCAGGAAGATACGGGCGTAGCAGATCACTATGCAGATGCAGGGCAGCATGAAAGCGGCGGTGAAGAGGAACTCCTTTGGCGAGCGGTCGTACTGGTCGTGCAGGATGGAGCACGAGCCAATGCTAGTGTCGAGGCCGAAGCGGCCCCAGACCCCGCGCCACGTGGGTATCATGATTGAGAAGGTCAACACCCAAGTGCCGGCCACCATCAAGGCCAGATAACGGCGCTGATAGATCCTAAGCGGTAGAAATTTGATATCATTAAAATCACACATACTCGTAGCGGGGGATAGGCGGTCACTTCACCTGGGATAATGTCGTGGGTGGGCGATGATGATGTAGCGATTGATGGTGATCAGCGAGACGGAAAGCAGGGACACAGCCAGTAGGCCGTAGCGCAGCATAGGAAAGAGCCGGCAGAGCAGATCACTGTGCGTCCATGCCCGCTCCATGAAAGTGGAGGCGGCCAGGGGCAGGTTGAAGCACCCGAACAACAGATCCGAGCAGGACAGATTGATGATGAAGATGGCTGTGGAGTTGCGCGTCTGACGACCCCGCGAGAGCGCCACGATGGTCAGCAGGTTGCCGGGCACGCCCACAATTATGAAAACGATGCAGGCCACCCAGGCGAAGGTCAGCAGCTCGTCGGAATAGCCCTGGAAGAGCTCGTTTCCGGCGGCGGCGGCGTCAACAGCGCCCTGCCCGCGCATGCCCGCATCCACTCCGTTTCCATTCAGTTCGAAGCTGTCCTGGCCCTTGTCCAGGACGCGAGAATGGCTCTCGAGGAGAGGGAACATGCTCCGCACTGATCTGATAGGGCCGTTTCGACAGTGACGCGCCCGTTCCTGCGCCGAATTTGTACTAAACTAAATTCTCCGCACCCATAGCCACTTCCACCATCCACGGCCCCCACCCCCACACCAGCACCAACGATGGACCAGAGACGGATGGGTGGAGTGGAGTGGTGTCGGCAACAGCGGCGGGACGCAGAGGCAGCCAAGCGAATATTGGAAGCAAGAAGAGGAGGCTAATTTCGGAAGCCGATACCTTAGATACCCTTTAGATACCCCTTGCAGCTCCATTGCTCCATCCGTGGCTGCTCGTATTTCTATCAAAGTTCTGTTTTTCAAACGGTCGTCTCTTGGTATATCTGAAATTAAGCAAAGCAAAAAACCAGCAAAATGTTTGTATTCTTTCTACCTAAAAATCAAATGGAGAGTGAGCGAGAAAAAGGAACCGAAATTACGATTTCTGTTTCGTTCAGTCCGTTTTTTGGCAATTGATTCGATGTTAACAGAAAGCTGAGACGCTAATTCAAACCAACAGAATTATTGAATCGATTCGGTTGCCTGTTTATGCAGGGTTCTGGTATGTAATATAGACTCTGAGAACCCATATATTAACTAAATATCCGATTTTTTTTAATACAAACAGTGACATTTTGCAGAATTCACTTTGATTTAAGCAATAGACGGCCTGTATTTAATCAAAAAGAAAATAAATATATCGAAATATAGTTAAATAAAATATTTCGATATGTTAAATAATACTTCGTACATCAAAAATAAAAGTCGGTGCAAAGTTTTAGCTAGATTTAACCACAGAGATTTGTTTGTTTTTGAAAGGAGATAGTCTAGATAGGAAGGACATGACATGGATAAAACCACCATGCGTCGCAAATAAATTTTGAAAATCGTCATATCCTCTGAAAGGGTATAAAAAGCGCAAGAGAAGGCATGGTCGATGGCGTCAGGGGTACTGGGGGAACGGAACGGCAGCAGTCGAACTAGAAAAACTTTCGAAAAGGAAAACAAAAAGAACAGCAACAAATTTTTATTGTATACAACAATTGACTTCATCATCGGGTAATTTGGTAATTTGGAAATTTGGTTTTTGGAATGGGCGCTTTGTTTACATTGTTCCTATTATTCTATTCCTGCTGTCTCTGTCTCGCTCTTGCCTTTCTTCTGCCGCCGCTGTTGCGTTTTCTGTTCCTTTCGCTCGCTCGTTCTCTCTGATTCTGATGGTTCGTGCTATTCGAACGGTTCTTGTTGCTCTTCTTTTTTGGAATTTCCAAATACTCAACTCAGGGCTGGGCGATCTCTTCGCCGCCTCAGCCGGATAACGGCCTTGCCAAGACGTGTCTGCCGTGTACTATTGCGCAGCCCTGGGACATTAAACGCACGCATTTTCCAAATTGAAAACTTTTCAATTCTTTTTCTCTACATACATACATACATATGTACATACATACATACATGTGTACACTTTCACTGGCAACTGGCAACAAGAACGCAACTTATGCAAAAATGTAAATGTACGCATGAAAAACGCTTACTTTTTTGTACACACAGTCATGTCTGCCTAAGTTGACTGTAACCAATGCTTGGAATACAAGATTTAACTTTTGCAAAATAAACATACATACATAAACATGTACATACAGTCATTAACTTTATCGAACAGTTTACTGTTTTTGTAAGATATTTTTCAATGAAATTTTTAATAAAAAACTAATTTTATCTGATACAGTAATCAATTTTCTAAACGATTGGATACATTTTAAAGGCGTAGTTTTATTCTATTATTCTAAAAAATATTTAAACAAAAAAAGGTCTACAAAAATTTCAAAACAAAAGAAAGGAACGGGAACGTTGTCAGCCGCGGCAAGGGCCGCGGCTCTACGCTTATACCCGACTCTGTCAGTATGTGTGATTTATGATTGATTTGACCAATACAAAACATGTTATTTACATTATATACATACATATGTATATCGCTATTCGTAAAGGGGTCGAACTGATTGGCTGGATAATGTGGAGAGGGAATCTTTTGCTCCCACTTGCCAGAGATGGAAAAAACATAGCGAGAGCGAGATGAACCACGACCGCTAGTTATGTTCTAATGTTATGTTATTCTGGCTATAAAAATGATCCGATTCAGATTCAGATTCAGCAATCTGCTAGCTTCTCATTATCGTACTCAATATTTCTGTGTTTTTTGTTCCTCGTTTTTTCAAAATTGTCTTTGTGGACGCGGCAAAATTTGGAAACAAACTTGTGATATCAGAGGAAACTTGTACACTCTGTCTCGTATAGTCTCTGAGAATAAGGCATTTATGGACATGGCTATATCGACTCGCCTATTGAGGCTGATCAAGAATGTATATTCTTTATGGGGCCGGATAGGCTTCCTTCTGGCTGTTACATACATCCACATCCACCAAAAGACTAATATACTCCCATACAATTTGAGTACCGAGTACAAGATAACTTTGTATACACAGTCAATGAAAAAAGTCAATATACAGCACCGATTTTGCAATATTTCGGGTTTTCGCAATGAAAATCAAAAAAGTTGGTATGCCATTATTTGAGGTCTTAATAGTAAAGTTCTTACAAAAAAACAAATAAGAAATAAGCGGTGAACCAACAGAAGCCAGTAACACAGGATAGACATTTTGCCTTTTCACAGCCAAGTCAAATCGTAAGCTAAGATTGGCTACACAGAGAAGTAGTACAGTACGCGGAGCATTGCGCAACGGTCCAAAGTAGCTTACAAATTTGAATGTTTGAAAGTTCGTTTCCTTCAAAATATTCATCGTTGTATCCACAATGCATTCATTGAACACTAAACTAGCTCGCATTCATCGCAGATTGCATATCAACCCTATCATCAGACCCTTTTACAATTAAGTAGACTTTGTTTTGAGCTATATTATTAGACCGGAATCAATTTTTTTCTGTAATCTTGGTTCTAAAATTCCTGCTATTTTGATCATTGAACGGTTCACTCTGTGTGGAGGGAGAGTCTTGAGTTCATTTTGTTTCTTAGCTGCTTCGAGTAAGTCTGTATTTATCCCGCATATTACGGCAGTTATCAGGGAATTATAAATACCATTCGCAGAAAAATCCTATAAAATAGGAACCATTAAAGGAACTGTGTACTGCTTTCAAAATATTTGACTACGGTAACTACGACCTTTTTGCTTTCTTTTCCCTGTAAATGAGTAAAACAAAAACCGCATAGGCGCGTGCATATATAAATCGAACGTAAAAAAGGGATAAATACACTTATCCCAACATTCGAATCACATTGTATTGGACATGCATGCCTCATGCTGATTCATGGCTACCCTGCCCCAGCCTACACGCCTCGTCTCGCCTCGCCCCCATAACCCGTTAGAAATGATTAAGGCACTGGGCTTGGGTCATTGCTAGGCGCCGTCACCGCGTCTTTTACGCTTCCGAGTTTCGATTGAAAGTCGTCTCAATTAATGAATCAACAGACGTCACTTCACCCTCTCTTCCACTCTGTCCACCAGTTGCCGGGTCGGGTCGAGTCGGGTCGGGTCGGGTCGGGTGCGGGTCGTCTGTTTGGCAGAAAAATGTAGTTTCGTTTCGATTTGTTTTTCAAGGAAAACTCTTTGGCAACGTGAGCTGACCCCCAACGGACAGAGCTCCGGAATTGTTTGTTTTTATGCAGGCGAACCAAAGAACTGATGTAGCTCGCCTGTGCATACCCACACAAACACACATTAATACATATGTATGTATGTACATAATGTACATAATAAATAGGTTCATGATAGCAAAAAGTAATTTCAGTGTATTTTTTTGTAATTTAATATAGTAAAACTGGGATTTTAGCTTCAAAGTGTACTAGCAATATAAGATACATACTAGGCGTACACATGTACATACATATGGATGTATGTATGTATGCAAGTAAAAACGTCAAGGATAGGGCCATTAAATCCTATCTTTTTCATTGAAAATATATGGTAGATTTGGATTTAATTTAATAAATTCATATGTGCATACATACATACTGTACTGTTTTCCAAACTAAAATTTTTCCAATAAAAATACAATTTTTTAAATCTATCTATCTATATATGTACATATGTATGTATGTATGCGTGCACAATGTATGTATATTTAGATAACTATAAACTATCATGTTCTTCACACAATCGCCAACAAACAACAAACAAAACTGATCGTTGGAGAGGGGCACAAAAACCGCTTCGTCTTCATTTCGACAATTTCGATGTCGATGTCCAATTGTGTAAACATTAGAATACGGACACAAACCGCCCCTTCCTCCATTGCCGTTGACCCTTCTCGGACGAAGAACCTTATCAGGATGAATAGTTGTATCTGTGCATACATATGTATGTATGTATGTACGGTTGTCCATGCATGCATATTAGATATATCTATACATATGTATGTGATTTGGTGATATATACATACATATGTACTATTTATGTAGTTCTTGGTTCTGCTGCTGCTGATTGCTGCTGCACAATTGCTTCTGAGAAGCATTCGTATCTACACATATGTACTCATCGCGGATCGGCAATCATTGAGCACTTTTATTGGCATTACCCACTGCTGGCTCACACACAGCCCCCGACCGCAACGATCGGCATTTATCCGGGCTGGTGTGCGTGTGCTTGGCCGTGCTATCTCTGTCTGTCACGTTGTCTGCCACCAGCCAAGCGGACAGCAAGTCTGCAAGAGCGCAAACATCAGCCACAGCGCCAAAGCTCCAAGGCAGGGTATACTCCTATAAGGTAAGGCTGTGCCAGTGACACAAGATTTTGTTTGGGTTTGAATCTATAGAAACAGAATCTAACATCAATAAAAAGGCGTTTTCTTTGTTTAGTATACATATACATATGTACATATATGTATAGTGGAGATTTCTTTATCAGTAGAAAATGAGTTGATGTGAAAGAAATGAGGGTGAAACTCGAAGTA